GGGGCGGGGGGGGGCGGGGGAGCGTCGGGAGGAGTGGAATAGAAAGCTGGAACTGAAGTTGTTTGAGTCTTAAAGGCAACTTGCCTTTGAAAAAAGTTGAATCAGAAAGTTTATGTAAGCTGCACGATGAGTCACGTCTTACTCCATCCACATAATGCCAGTTGCACTATGAAAAATGGTCGAGTTTGAAAAATAAAAAGGCCACTCACTGCTAGAAGCCCGAAGCGAAACCTGCTGGTGAGAGAAGTGTGTGTACATTTGGAGAAGTTAATATCAACATTTTTGGAGGATAAAGGTAGCAGGCTTTGATAATTGATACATGTACAGAAAGTGTTCAAATAACCCAATTCTTGGAGATTTTGATCTGAGTCAGGGTGGTAGTAAGAAAGGAGCAGGCTAACCAAAGGTTGTAAAAGATGGCTCAGGTTTTACTCAGAAGGGTATCATTGCTCAGGAGAAAGGGCTAAGAGACAGGTCTTTAACATTTGCTGCCTTTGTGCATGATTAAGTTTTGAATGCTCTTTTAAAATTGAGGTGTAATTTGCATTCAGTACAATGGATTGATCTTAAATTCTCATATGGATGAATTTGCACATATGTGTATGTAAATAACCATCACCAAGGTGGAGATAAAAACAATTCTCAACACTCAGGAGACTCCTTTCTAATCAATATGCCCTTCCCAAAGGTACCCAGAATTCTATCTCCATAGATCAGCTTTGCCTGATATTGAATATCACATAAGTGCAGTTATGCAGTATTTACTCTTTTGTGTCCAGCTGCTTTTATTGTCTAAAAGATTCATTTATGTTATTGCTATGCAGTATTGATAGAGTTTTCTTTTTTGTTGCTGTGTAGATGAATACTCTGTTTAAATTTACAGACCATCCAAGATTTTTCAACCAGTTGTATGCTGGACTCGATTATTACTCCTTGGTGGCTCGATTTATGACAGAAGCATTAAATCCAAGTGTGTAAGTATCATTATACTGGAAATTTATACCAAGTGTGCATTAGAGATGTTTTTTAAGTAGATGAAAATTTTATTTTGTAAATTTCTAGTTAATGATTTCATTGGTGCAGTGTCATCATAAATAATAGAATAGTCTTATGACAGTAATATTCAAAGAGCTGTTTGATTTGATAGTGGTTCTGTGAGAGGTAAGGCAGGCATTATCTCCACTTAACAAATGAGAAAATGAGCAAGCAACTTTTAATTTATTCTGCATGAAAAGCTATGCCTGTGCTAAGTAGCGGAGAGATACTTTGAGTAAAAACAAACCTTGACTTTGCCTTCATGAAACAAAGTATCTAGTGAGATAGAGATGCTCCATGCAAATTAATCAAAATATGCACACAAATTAATCGAAAATTTCAATTCTCATGTAAAGTGGGTGTGATGCTATAAATATAAACGGGCCAATTTTTTCTAGTTGGGAACTCTAGAAAGTCTTCTCTGAGGAAGTTATAGCTAAGAGATAAAGGGTAAGTAAAAAGTAAGATGAAAACAGGAGGGATGAGTTCTAAACAGAAGGAACAGCATATACACTGAGTGGCCAGATTATTATGACCACCCCATCAGTACTTCATTGACACTTCCAAAAATACTGAATATTGAAAACTTCCTAAGCAAATACTCTCAAGGTTTTATTATTATTATTATTTGCATAACTAATTCACTTCATTGTACTGATGGGATACATGGAACTAAAATTCTCATGTCTATGAAAAGGATCAATTTAAGAGTTATTGGTGAATGATGTTAGTTGAAACACTGGGCAAGGATGATATTCCTTAAGTCAGTGATTCTCAACCCTTTCTGCTCATTAGAATCAATCTTGGAACCTTTTTCACAAAATTGAGGCTTGGGCTCCAAAACAGATCAATTAAATATGAATTTCTGTGGGTGTGTTTATAAATGATTTTAATGAGAAGGATGGAGACACTGCAAAATAAAACAACCCAGGAGATGGAGAAGTGCTGCCTATGGGACAGAGTGTAGAGTGAGGAGAGAGGAGGGCTTATGACTGGGCTTTGAGGATATCTACGATAATAGTATTTAGCAGTTCGGAGGAGGAGGATCAGCCTGCTATAGAGAGATAGAAGGAGAAAATCAGGCAAGGAAGCATGGAAGCCCTGGAGGAGATTGTCTAGAGCAGTGGTTCTCAACCTTCTGGCCCTTTAAATACAGTTCCTCATGGTTGTGACCCAACCATAAAATTATTTTCGTTGCTACTTCATAACTGTAATGTTGCTACTGTTATGAATCGTAATGTAAATATCTGATATGCAGGATGGTCTTAAGCGACCCCTGTGAAAGGGTCGTTCGACCGCCAAAGGGGTCGCGACCCACAGGTTGAGAACCACTGGTCTAGAGTCACATGTTGCTGAGTATTTAAGACAGAATAAGACATGTCCTCTAGATTAGCAACATGTATGCTACTGGTGACTTCAGTTAGAGAATTTTGGGTAGAGTAATGCAAGACCATGGATTACAACGGGTAGAAGAGTTAAAAGTGTTAGGTAAGTCAGAAGAGACAGTAAAATTGCACAATTCTGTGAGTCTTTCCTTGTGTGTATTGGGTTTGCTAAGTTCTTATAACTGAAATCTTTAGAGGTTTTTAAAGTATTAGTTTTAACTTGTATTTAATTTAGTATTAATTTTTTCTTACAAAAAAGTGAATAAGTATTTCACTTTATATTTTAGGTACACATAAATATATATACTTTCCCCCCACATTTTTGATATGTGTAAACTGGTTTCCTAGCATGGTTTAAAAATAGAAGTTAGAGTGCTTGTAGAGTGCTTGGCACATAGGGAGGTGATACATAGTAGGTCTTCTTTTTTTCTTCTTCCCAAAATTTTCCCTGCCAGATCCCAGGGACATCTCTGGAGCTACAATGGCTCTTCAAATTGGTCTAGAGTTGGGCCCAGTGGCCAGGCCTTTATGCCTCCTGCTGGGCCAGTCATGAGGTGTAGACCACCACAGGGAAGGGTTTAACTTTAGGGAAGGTGGCTCAGATGTTAAAATAATCGCATTAAATTCTGTGACTACAAATCTGAATGTGTCTGCCTAGCTTATATACTCAGAGTACACATATTCAGATACAATTCAATGCAATTACTTAACTGTTAGAGCGGGAGGTTATAGATATTTAGTCATTCTCAAGTTAATTGGAGAAAGAAGAGACTCAGACATTGCACAATGGTAACTGTCTCGGGTTCAGTTCCCTGGGAAGCTTCTCTAAAGGAAATTTAGTGAGCAAGATGTTTACTAAGGAATACCCGTGGGATCAGCATGGGTGACACTGAGGGAAGGAAGCTGAGTGGGCAGAGAGAGGAGTCAAGCTGGCATGCAGGTGCAATGACAAGAGACTGACCCCAGGGACATCTCTGGAGCTACAATGGCTCTTTAAATTGGTCTAGAGTTGGGTCCAGTGGCCAGGCCTTTATGCCTCCCGCTGGGCCAGTCATGAGGTGTAGACCACCTCAGGGAAGGGTTTAACTTTAGGGAAGGTGGCTCCCTTATGCTGAGGAAATTCCTAAAGAGGCTAACTTAGCAGTGCTCTCTGACTCCAGCCCTCTAGCCTGATGCAGCAGATTCTTCATGGCAGGGGGCCTGGGTAGTGCTTTGCTGTAAAATCCCACAACGAGAGATGTCCCACAGAGCACTTCTCATTTGTACAAACACAGGCGTACATCCAGGATGGGTCATTGCCATGTAGAATATCTAGAGCTGCCTGCCAGGGTACTCACAGTGATAACCTAATAAAACCTAGTTACCATGACAATGGTTTTTCCCTTAGCCAGCATCCAAAGCATCATTCAAAGAGTTAATGGCCACTGCTCATGACTAATGCAAAGAATCGAGATGCACTGCCTTCATCTCTCCCAATGAAATTGAAGCTTTTCTGTAAATTAAAACTGCTGCAGTAGCCAGCGTATCCCTAAGGCCACCCGCTATTATCTAACCACAACTAGCACTATCACTGACTGCATACTTCTCTATATCCAATGAATAAATTTCCAAAGAATCTATCTACACTTCGACAGCTATTTGGTTTAATAAAACTCTGTGCATTTCTTGGGACACCAAAGGGATGGTTTGACTCTAGTCATAGAAGTGAAGTATTTTTTATATCTATCTAGTTATACATATGAGGTGTCCCCAGTGTTTCTGTTAGTGGAAGAAGCGGTTCTGAAGAAAATGATTGAATTTATTGGCTGGAAAGAAGGGGATGGAATATTTAACCCAGGTAAGTACAATTAGTTATTGCCATCTCCCTTCTATTAGAAGCATCTAAAAATAGATTAATGTGGTAGATGAAGAGCAACTCCTTGCAAATTTACAGATCACAAAAAGTGGGATATTAATAATGCTACTTAGGGAGACCCTAGCTTGTGCCTTTCTCCAGAGCAATAATATCCATAATAATAAAAAAGTAATATGCTAATTAGACTGGAAGTCCTTCCGGACGAAGCCAGGGATGTGAGGTAAGCCTGGGTCCCGGGTGCCAGAGGGAAGCTGGTGCCAGCAGCTGGGGAAGGAAGGCCTTCTCTTGCACGAATTTCATGCATCGGGCCTCTAGTTTTACATAATCATAAATGACATAAATGCTAAACAAATGAGATAGCTACAATTTAGGATTTATATCTAACACAAATGAATTTACCTGTTGTTGGAAGGGCTATCATAAGATTTTTAGGTTTTTAAATCAATTTTACCTGAGAAGATTCCTAAGTCACATTTTATTTATCCTGAAATCCTCTTTTTTGCTTGCTTGTTTGTTTGGAAGCTAAGATGGGCATGTTATTTTCATTTTATTGATCAGATAACAGACAGAAAGAATATTATTAACTACAGAGAGTTAGATACAGAACTCATAGATTGACACCTTTAGTTTGGAAAAATTCCGGAATGAGACAATAGACCAAAACTTCTCACTTTGCTGAGATTGGAAACTGCAGGAATTAGAGACTAGGAAGTGTGTAAGAGTAATGGGGTGGGTGGGGTGGGGTTTAAATGACTTTCCCAGTGATTTGTCATTAGACCAGAGCAGCCACAGCCATTTATGCTTTCCACTGAAGTCAGCACTTAGGGAGCTATAACTTCATGCTATAAATATGCCATCGCAATTTTTGTTTTTGCAGGTGGCTCAGTGTCCAATATGTATGCCATGAATTTAGCTCGATACAAATATTGTCCTGATATCAAGGAAAGGGGGCTGTCTGGGATGCCAAGATTAATCCTTTTCACATCTGCAGAGGTAAAAAATGATTTTGGGTATCAGATACAGATTTTCTGAGAATGCATTATTTAACAGGGCTTGTTTGTCTACGGACTCCTTTATCCTCTCTGTGTAACTAATATGCCTAAGTGTAACATCGTATTTCATTCCAAAAGAAATTCTGATGGGCTTGATATTGGCCACCCAATTTTGTGCATCACCTTTACTTGAAATTTATAGTCTGTAGTATTTTCTTTAGAAAAAGATAACATTTCATTTGAACATGCTATCTCTGTGAATCTCTTCTTTGAGTAGCTCGTTTATTAGAAGTTAAATGGTTGATACTATGTCATCTACTCACATTTCTTTTTAAAATTGATTGCTTTGAATGACTAACACAAGGACTTTTCAAGAAGAAAGGGATATATTGAGTAAAAATGAATCTCTCT